GTCTTAGAGCAGCCCCTGGGCTCAGTTTTTTTATTCAGATAAAGAAAAGGTAATTTTACTCTGAGGCCTGCTGACTGTGTGTGCTGCTGGAGCTGATTGAAGGAGAGAAGAGAATAATGTTTTTAGATGAGATTCAACTGGTTTTGAGCTATATCATTCAGAATTCCATTTATTGATCACAAATTCCCTTCAGTTTCCATGCTATGTTGGAGGAGTAGAAATAGCTTTCCCTTGCCTCTGCGGGCTTGGACCCCGATTATTTTCTCTAAAAAGGTAGCATCCTTTTTTGAATCAAATATAAATATATTCAACAAAAATGTCAGCAAATAGGCAAAAAAAGAGTACATAAATAAAAAAAAAATACGTTCATGAAATCAGTGTTAAAATGAGAGCAGAAAAGCAGACAGAAAAAGCTACATGAAAACTTACTGTTCGGCATCATGGCTGACTTCGAGCTTTATAGATTGTAATTTGTTCTTCACCTAAAAGCAAAACAAAAAATAAATAAATAAACAAATTTAGTAATAGCTTAGCTTCAGGTTCTAATGACATGGGCTAAAAGTGACATTTTATAATTATAACACATTATATTTTAAGAACCCATTTGAAGTTAGGTACTGACCTAAATAAATTGATATTTTTAGAGGTTAAAAGTTATAAAACAGAAAATGTGGCATGTAAATGTCATCGACTTAAAAAGCACTTAACATTTTTGAAATTAAAATAACAGAAAAAGCTGACTTGAGCCACTCTACCTAATGTACAGTTGCAAAAAAGAAGAAAAAGTCTAACACAAAAGGTATTTTTTCCTATTCTTGTTGACTTCTAATAACCAATATTATTCTAATAAATTTTTTTTGTAAAAATTTTTTAAATAAAATAAAGGTAATTCACCTTTTATCAAAGCATGTCTGGTTATAATCATATGACAATCATATCATTCCATTTCAGCTACATTTCCCCAGCAGCTAATTGAGATGAGTGGCAACACACAGACCACTGGTCTGGAAAATATACACCRTATTGAAAGGTTGAGTTTATGGCCAATAAGTTTGACACTGCTTCATTAACTAAAAATTATATACGTATCTTAAAAGGCAGAACTCATGGCTCCTGGAGTAAAGAGATCTGCATTTTGCCATCTCGCAAGAAAAAATTARAACAGGAAAGTGGTCAGCTTTAACCGATGCTACTAAAGCCTTCCAAGACTTTTTAAATTATTGGTAATACTACTTAATAAAAGGAGCAAAAGTCAATTATGATGACTTCTAATTCATCAAATATAAAGACATAAAACATTTCTTAAAAGTAGAGAGTTCTACAAAGAGTTAAAAAATGGCAAAAATATTTAATACTACTGTTGTTACTATTGTTTAATAATTTTTGCACAAAATTTTATGCTAAAAACTCATACGGGAGGTGTTTTTTTTCTTCTTGGAAACAATTTAAAAGAGATATGGAGTAACATGAGAATCATTACTGCTCTTAAAATGATTGAGAGCAGAAGAGTGGATATTAAGCCATGAAAGGTGTGTGCAAAACCTAATGTCGAACAACCACGAGCCCGCACGTCAACCCCTTTAGTTCCCCTACCAACCCTGCCTGGGAGTCCAGGACGCTGTTATCTATGTACAAGGCAGCGAGTATAGTTAAAGTCATGCTCTTTGACTTCTCCGTACCTTTAATACCATCCATTCAACCCTACTGACTACTGGTAATACCTTAAAGGGATCCATGATTAGTTGTAACATTAGACTTTATTTGATAAACATTTATTTTAACTGTAAAATAAAGACTGTAAAAATACTGTAGGCTGTTTAGTTTTGTAAATTTTTAAAAATGTATTTTAACATGGGCGGAGTCATTTTACTGACACGCAAAGCATTCTGGGTAAATGATGACGTGGATAGGTCATCAGTGGCTAGTATCATAG